AAGCTACGCTGCCAAAATCGCCGGCGAATTTTTATTATATACCATAAAAGTCAATTCCCAGTTCACTAACAAATTTCAACTAGGTCGAAAGTTCATTTTCCCGAAACAAATATAACAATTAAAATAATTCATCTTATTAACAAGGGCCAATAACTGGGACCCCAAAAATTAGAATTAGGAAGAATTTTGTATCGTGTCCCTTGTTGTTAAGCTAAACTTAGCAATATCCTAAGTAGGGGGTCTTCTGCTTTTTGGGTGGAGAATTTCTTTCCATTACAAAATTCTAGGATTAGGGTCCTCCAAAAAATTAAGGACCCCTTTCCTAGGACATTGCTTTACGTGAGAACCCCCCTTAAAAAGGACCCCCCTTAGGAAGGACCCAACCCTTCCCCAACCCCCCCCCCCCCCCCCCCCCCCCGCATTGGATCCGGGAGACGATACAATACTACTTTACTAAAAAAAAACGATATCAAAATTTGATAGATAAAACGATGTTATTTGTCTGAGTTAAAGGATTTCAATTTGGTTTATTATAAACTAGAGCTTTACTTAATATGTCGTGTTTTTATGCGCTTTTCTAAATTGTTATAGCTCTTCTAAAAGCAATGTTTCCAGAAAAACATTTTGATTTAATTTGATGTGTCGACACGAATTTTTTGTTTAACAGAAATTGATGACAGTGTTTGACAGAGATTGATGATCTAGAATAAATTGATTTAAGCGAGCATCAAGTTTCTTAAACATAGTTAGAAAACGCAAAAAAAATGTTCTGTTATAGAAAAAACTAATCAGTAAGATTTTGTTTTGTGCTTTCTTTGTTTTGTTCTGTTCTCCATTGAGTAAACAGAAGACGGATAGTGTAAATGGCTGGAAATGAGAGAATACATGAAGAGTAATCGTGTCTTAGTTTAACAGTCGTAAGAGAAATTGCATAGTTTAAATTGCCTATTCAATTGTTTTAGTATGAATTTCAAACCCTATCAATAAATTGAAGTTTTGTTGCAATTCCGAAAAAATTGATGAAAATTTTTTTCCAATTAGTTCGTGTATAATACAAAAAACAGCTTCAAAGTCTTTTAGCTCGACTTATTCTACTGTATATTTCAAAATTAGTTTCTTGTCAATCATTTTTGAACTAATTATATAAATTCTCAAAGTTCGTGGAAAATTTTCTCGGAAAATATCAAATTGATAATTTGCTATTTCAAAAAAGTTGGTTTTTGGAAGAAAACGTTGCATAATCGGCGTAAGGAAAAATTCTGCAGTAGTTTAATAATTTTAGGTTCAATTTAATTTTGTTTGCATTTGAAACAAATGTTCCCAGGACTTTTTCTTGTGGAGCGCCTAAACATATATCTACCAAGGCAAAACTGTGATAATACCATTTGTTTCAAAACTTTTTATTCATTTCAATTGCGCTTGATGGGAATCCTGGAGTTCGAGTTTAGTCTTTGGAAATTAAAAACTTGTTGGGGTCAAAAGCTTTTGATGAAATAAAAAAGAAGACAGCAGCGAATTGATCAGTATCAAATTAATTTTCTTGATGATCTAGTACAGTATAAAATTTTTCTGTTGAATTTCAATCTCGAAAAATAAACTCTGTTTTGCGCGTATATTTATCCTTTAAGAGTAATGGTTATCTGTAAACCTTTTCATCCTATCTGATATAGATAGATAAACATCTGGTCCTTCTTTTAAAAACAGGTTAACAAGAATTTTTTAAGGTTGTGTGGAATTTTCACGAGCTTGGTATTATCATAGAACAACGATGTAATAAGTGTCGCGTATGCTGTTTGCTTCATCTTCAAGTGCCCAGGCCAGTACATTACAAGGAACGGGCAGTTGTAATTTCCTTATTTAAACGGTTAGCTATTTTAAAACTGTTTGCCATGAAATCGTAGAAATTATTTTGTGGCACGGAAGTCTTGCTGATAGTTTGTAGTCCGTGTTGGACAAAACAAAACACAAAATTGAATTGTATCAATGTTGCGATCAATGTTGCGATCTATCAATGTTGCGATCTTTTTTATCAATGTTGCGATCTTCCTGGCGCTGGCGCTGGCGTTTCAAGATTACAAACTGAGCCTCGACCTAATCTAAGAAGCTCTAGGGACTCAGCTACCATTACATTCCACATGAATCGTCTGGTTTTTTTTCTGATCTGTCCTATGGAGGTATCGTGGCTCTAAAACAGAAGGAATGTGAGTGGAGGCAAAATCTCTCTTCACTTTTCAGACAAATTAGGCTATGACATCCATTTTGCAAACGTATTTATTTTGTTTTGAATTTTTAAAAACCTAGTCCAATAGAATATCTATGCTGCTTAAGTGTAACTTTCAATCTTAAATTTTTTCACGGGTTGACAATCAACCATTGCAGTTTTAAATTTTTCCGTAAAGCCTTGAAAATTTACACACCAGCAGGTTCTAGTTTTAAAGTCAGTTGACATTTTTCATTATCAAAAAGGGGCTCAAACCAATACTTTTAAAGTTCGTTTACTGGAGGCACTACCCATTTTGCTGAATCAAATCAAAAACTTATTGCATCATCTTATGTTCCATCCTCGTGCTCCGAACAAAATTTTTTACTTGAGGTACTTTCAGCTCTTTCTGCTGAGGCTAAGAAAGTAGTTAAAACTAGTAATCGAGCAAAAAAACAACCCTGCCACCTTTAGCTGTCTGGAAAACTACTTGAAAAAACTGGTTATGTTTCATTTTTAAAATCGTTACTTCCTATGATGAGTTTATAAAAATGAACGGTTTTTTTCAAAAAATCTTTGCAAAAAAAGAAAAGATTTGATCTTACTAAAGCAATTTTTAGGAAGTAAAACCCATCGTGGGCCTTAAGTTTTTCCGAGTTTTTTTTTCTTTTCTATAATTTTTTAATATAATTTTTTAATAAACTGTTTTTTGCGACAAAATTTGCCCAAATGGGAGCTCAAGATTAAAAAATCATCCTCGGTTTGATTTTCAATATCGGTCATACTTTTTCATACTAACCTATGATTATACTGTACTGCGTACTTGTGGTCGTTAAGATCAAACATAGCTAATTTTCTCTGTATTTAGGCTCAAGCCATTGTTTTTTTTTCATTTTCAATATGTTTTTCAAGTCTTAGTGAAATAGCATATAGTCGCAGGCTAGATTTTTATCCCAAGTTGGCTACTAAAAACCAAATGTTTTTTTGGCCTGAATTTTTTTTAAGCGTCTTTTTGTTTCAGCTATTGGATGTTGGTTTTCGGGGTCAGCATGTTGTGTCCGGTCCTCCGACATAATGATGAAACTTCGGTACAAAGATTACTCGGTTTACTGACGGCACCATGAGCATACTTTCAGATTTCTGGGTGGTGCAATGAAACGAGATACAACATAGTATGTCTATTAAGCGAGTTGAAGGAAGCGCTAAAAATTGTTTTTTATAACAAGTGAGCAATTTAAGCTTTCCAATCCTCAACTAAGTTTCAGAAGGATGTGCAGCATTTTCAAATCCTCGTTACTTATCACCAACCATTGAAGTTTTACAAAAACAAACTGTCGCTCTGCGGGTATTTTTTTGCAACGCGTTTAGGTCCGATGTATCTGAACGTGTTGCCGATGACAGTTGATCACAAAAATCAATCTGTAGTTGATAAGTCTTACTTCAAAATGGAACATCTGATTTTTTTGGGTACTTTAAGTTCACTTATAAGGTTCAGGAAACTACTTAGCGGTTTCAAGAAGTAGAGCCCGGCAATGCTGTTGAGTTTTCATATTATGTCTTTAAAAACTTGGGGAACAGTTTTATCCGTAACGGCTTCTGACTCAGTTGGAAAAAACTTGAATGCTTCGTACATCCCGAACTCAGTTTTAAAGGTTTATTGATTTTTTTTGGGTTGGGGTATGTAAATCAGCTCTTTTTGAGTGCTTAGACATTGATTTTTTTAAAGTTAGGAGCCAAAAAAGGGACATTATGTCATCCGAAGAGGCAAGTCTCATTCCTCTCATCATATTTCTTTCATCGAGCTGGCTGCTGATTAGCTTAAGATTTTGCTCAAGATCTGTCTGTTGAGGGCTTGACCAGAGGAATTAGGCAGTGAAAAAACATAAGCTTTTGTTTTTTTGTTCATCACAGAGCTCATAGTTGCTGCTTGTTTATGACAACTTCTTTTCGGTTGATCTATGATCCAAGAGAACACGCGAGTCCTTTGCAAATCTCTTGAGTACTCCAAAATTTAAAAATGGGCTGTAATTGAATAATTATCTAGCACCAAGTCATCGCCGATGGAAGCTTCATTCGCAGTATTAAGATTAACCGCAAGAGAAATTGAAATTTTTGAATTTAGAGTCGATCAGAAATATGTATGCCAAAATGATGATAACAGTTTGGATAAAAATTTATTTTAATTCAAATTAAATGTACTGAGGGTGTTTAGCAACTTTGAATTTTTCATTTTTCTGGTTTTTTCTCCTCTTAACGGATGGCGTAAAGGTACAAAAGGAACGCATAAAAGTTCGTATTGAAGGTCTGGCAGCTTCAGTGACTCGTGAAAACCGAGTTTGATATTCAATTTTACTTCGTTGCTACATTTCTGAGCATGTCGAATATTAGCTTTCCTCAGATGTTCTTTCATATGGTTTTAACAAAAGAGTTTTTCACTGAACTGGATTTCTGAATTCTTAATTAATTTGGAAGTTTCGCGCGCAATAATTTTTAGCTGGATAGTGTTTCTCTTAATGTAACAATTGCTTAATCCATTTGATGTAGACTAGTGCATTTCACTATTTCATTTAAGTCTTACTTCGTTCTACCATTCAATATTGCTTAAAAGTATCAGCAATATCACACCTCAGCCTTTAAATGTTAATTTTTGTTGGATCTTTTTTTCCTGTCTCGTTGAATAGCGCGAATTTTATGATTCAAAAGGACCATTAAAAGCTATTGTTTGAGTTGTTGAACCATGCTATTGATTGAGGTAATTGAACCTGGTGTTTATCACAAAATTAGCCTAATAATTGTGATAAACTTATTAAATAGTTTCATGTGATATTACGATAATGGTACGCTTGTTAGAAAAAGTCCGGGCGTGGCGTGGATATGAGAGACAAGCTCGTCAAGCCGCGATACTCCCCTTTTACCAGGACACCTCGCCGGGATCTCCACCGGTGAAAAACGAGATTGTAATCGCTTTCATTTCTTTTTTGCTATTAGTTACTTAAATCCATTTTTCTACAATGCAATTAACAGTCTATTCTTTCTCTTGTTTTGCCTCTTTTGTATCCTGTTTAGTGAATGTCCGTGCCGAAGTATAGGCCGAAGTGGCTACACAAATGGAGCAGGAAATTGATAATAGGACCTCAAGGACTAAGTACTGCAGCCCCAAAGATGTCGGAGCCACGGTAAACTCGTGCAGAGATGCAAAGCTGTCCGACCTTGCCGCTACTGTCTCGCGCTACCTACCCCTCGCAGAAACTGAACTGTGTTACTATAGTAGCCGGCTTTAATGATAACTCATCTACGGTTTCAGACCTTGCTAATGATATGAGGTTTTTAATAAAATTGATAGTTCATAAGTTTAACCAAATGTGCTTATTATCCCCAACACTAGTGTTGATTTGTTTTGTAAACATGGTATACGTTTTTCTTTCTATGGCAAAAAAAAGTTCAGTTTAATGCTCCCTCGCTTAACTTGTATTTATTTTTAAAAATTTTACCCTCCTCGCTGGTAAATTATGGCCGAGCAAATACCCATGTCTCAGGTAGCGGCCAGCAAAAGAGTCCAGCTCTATCAACAGACCACGTAGCTCAGCCCCCCTCACAACTCAAGAAGAAACATCACTGGCAACACCCGAAACAAACATACTGTCCAACGCAACTCAATCTAATCCCTCGTCCCCAGCAATCATTACAGTCCCCTTTGACTCCTCGAAACTTATCGAACATGATCTTGAATTCAAAGTAAACGATTTTTAAAAAATTCGTTAAATGGAAACCTCGCTTCATAGTTCTAAGCAAGAACAATCCCGATTTCCAGTTCATAGAAATACTGAACCAGCATCTGTTGTCCTCAGTAGACCAAACACCAAATTCTAACGTCGCAATGAAAGCAGCAAGGATTATCGCACATCTGCTGCTCCCCAAAACTAAATCAGAAAGAAACGGACCAAACTCCAAAACACTGAAACTCCGCACAATTTTATGGAAGCAAGGCCTATAAGACGAACTTTTCACTGAAACGAAAGCTCTCCAAATTAGACATCCAATACAGAAGAAGTGCGAAGTAAACGAGGAAGTTATACAACTCGAAAAACTAATGAGTACATGCAAAAACATCTGCCGCCATTGGCTGCCTTTCAGACAAAAAACAAAAGGAGTATTTCCCTGAGCGAAGTCATTGAAGGAAAAACAGTCCCCTGTATCCTGAAAAAATTTTCAAATCTGCTTAGGCCAGAAGTGTTCAATCGAATATGCTATCCACAGCTTGAGGAACGAGTTTGAGTAACCGGAAACGGACGCCATGCTACTCATTGACCCGTAAAATCCCTCAACTCGCTAAATAGACATCTTTTGTCCGGCACTACAACATGCGCTGGCCAACTCATATAAACATCCCTCAAATTTATATAACAATGACACGGTTTTGACATCTACCAAAGGCACAACGCAAGATGATACTCTACCCATGGCTATCAACTGAATTGGGATAATCCCATTCATTCATCAAGCTGTAATAAAAAACAAATGTCACCCAAAAATGGTACGCAGATGACGGAAGCGCTGCAGTTCAACTTTGCGCAATACTCTCCGCGAAATACTGGACAACCTGGATGAGAACTGAAAGGCTTTTGGCTACAATGGGAAGCCTTCCAAGTGTCAACTCATAGTGAAGGAAAACCGTCGGGAAAGCGCCATAGAGATATTCAAAGGCACAAAAATTACAATGGTAGATTTTTCTTAGAGTCCTTGGATCGGTTATACAAACACCATCAGCATTCGATAAATACATGGAAACTGAAATTAAAAAGACAACTATTCTAGCAAAAAAAAAGCTTTCCAAAATGGCATAAACATCACCACAAAATGTGTACTTCTACTAAACAATTTGAAATCAAAATAAATTAAACTTTCTAAGCAGAACAACTCCGGAATAATTCAAGAAATGAGAAAATAATTCATGAATGGAATTGAGAAAAACGTAAAACAGCAGTTACTTCTCAGCGTTAGTGGTACAAACTATCTAACCGATGAAGATGGCAGCCTTTCTGCGCTACCACTCAGAGTGAGAGGATTAGATGTGCCATTCGACCAGAATGCTGCCAAAAAAAAGTTCGTCAAAACAAAATTATTAAAAGTAGTTCAACTGTACAAAAAGGCAGTTTGGTTTCGATGATTAAAGGTTATACTTGACAAAATGAACGGTTTGGGAAGGGTCCCTTTGATCTGACATGCTTAGTTTTGAAAAGTCGCCCAAAAAAAGTGAAATTTTTTTTGCTAAAGCTGAAAAGCCGCGAAAATCAAAACAACAATTTTTGCTGAGCGAAAACAGACAGAACTCTAAATTTAGTAGATAGAATTTAACAGTCGAACTTATTTGCGGAAGAACATTGTTAAAATTTGAACGCAGCTAAAATTGTTACGGATCACTTCAATAGAATCAAGAGGGCTACTGGGAGGATTTTTCTACCCTTCTTGGTCACCAAGATGACAGGTCTTCAACTGGATTCAAGAATCCGGAAGGGTCAAGGGAAAAAACTAAATACTGAATTTCAACAACTTTTAGCTTCCTGGTATGTCCCGAATTGAATTAAATAACATCAAGCTTGTTTTGAGATCATGAGAAGCTAGGAGTTAGGTAAAAAGGGTTGATCCATCTCCGATGGATATGATGATTTTTAACTACTGAAAAAAAACAATAGTAATGTAAGGGATCTAGCAATCTAGGGATTCTGCGACCAAGCCATGAGCTCACCATTTTCGCTTGCAACTAAGTTAATTTGCGCGGTTTGGACGATAGCCTTAAATAGTAATGACTTTGTCGACCTGATGTATATCAACCACACAAAGAACTGGCTTTGGTAGAGACGGTTAAAAGCATGTGAAGCTGTGTTTAGATGCTAGCCAGTAACTTCATAACCTAGCTTTATTTCAGGTTTTCTGGCGCTCGTGGGAGATATTTTTTCAGTATCCTGACCGGCAGACCCATTAATGAAGCACCGCACTCCGCGTTGAGCGGATGCTCACAATAAGGCCCTTAACGAGGAGCTGGAAGGGTGGTTTGGAACGCGGAAAACTTCCGGAATCACGTGGGAGGGGATTGGCCGTCCCGTCGATCCCTGAGCAGTTTATGGCCAAAAACACTTCCACTTCAATTTATACCAAGAAATTGTGTAGTAACTAAGAAAAAACCAAAAACATGAAGAATATCCAAAAAAAAAAACAAAAACAGTAGAAAAAAAACTTAAATGAAATCTATAAAATTCATCTCCCCAGACGAGATGTCATCCGACCCTCGCGTTTGTTGTTGTTCGATACTTTGTTGTTACAGGCATTTATATCAACACGGATCATAGCGATCAAATTTTTGGCCTGTTTCTGGTGCCTTTACTGTAGGATTGTTTAAATATTTAAGCACATTAATGGTAACTTGCGCTTAATCCGGGAGGGTCACGGTATAAGAGCGGAAGAATGATCCGGCAAGCACTGCAAGGAGCAGCAGGAAAGGTCTCAAGGACAACAACAATCGACTGTTGGGTATCGTTAACAAGCTTTGTATCCTTTTTGGTACAAAAAGTACGATATCAATCTGTGGGGTGTCGAGAGCGACTGCACTGTAGTGACCCCCACCGAGTTGGGAATTTCCGAGTTAAGCACCTTAATTTGGACATTGAATGGACCCGAAGGGTTGTAATACTAGTAGTACTACTAATCATACTACTCGTAATAATATTGCTATACCATTTTTTAGTTAAAAAGACCGTAAACAGTCCGATTTTTAGGATCAAAATAGTGATATTTTGACGCCTCCACAAATTGCGATTTTTGGGTATCGATACTTTTCGAAACGGATAAAAGCGTAACTCGAATAATTTAACTGAAGGAACCGGTTGAGATTAGTTCGGAGGAGGTTGGAACTAACTGGGTACAGAAATCCCAATTTTTGCGACATTTGAAAAACCGAAACAACGCAAAATAAAAAAAAATTCAAAATTTTTGAATTAGGGCAAAAAAATTATTGTTCAGATAACATACATTAGTGAATCGACAGACTTTAGAGCCCTCCTGGCCCCAGTAAAATCGAAAAGCACTAACTCTGGAAAGTTTTTCAATTGAAACGTTCTAGATCGGGTTTTGCGCATTTAACTAGAAGAGCATAGGCTTTTTGTGCTGGGATCAATAATTTTCAGGCCAATAAGACAAGAATTGCGGCAGAAATTAGGCGGAATCAATAAGTTTGAAAGTTTTTGAATTTGGATAAAAGACGTTTTGCTTTATAACTTTGGAACAACTGGACCAATCCAATTTATCTTGGTGCCGTCTTTGGAAAATTTTGGTTCATCTTGACACCGTTTTTGATATAAAATCATTTATTTAACATTCGCACGGAAGTACATACCGTCGGAAAAAAAATAGGTTATGAAATGACTGGCTAGCATCTAAACACAGCTTCACATGCTTCTAACCGTCTTTACTAATGCCAGTTTTTTTGTGTAGTCAATTGAAATTGGTTCAAAAAAGTCATTACTACTTAAAGCTATCGGCCAAACTGTGCAAATTGACTTAGTTGCATGCAAAAATAGTAAGCTCATGGCTGGGCCTCAATATCCCCAGACCACGAGGTCACTCCTTAAAACAGGGCTACTACATATTTTTTAATTTACTATTGCCTTGTTCAGTAGATAGAAATCATCATATCTATCGGAGATGGATAAACCCTTTCTCTAACTCCTTGCTTCTCATTATCTAAAAACAAACTTGATGTTATTTAATTCAAAACAATACTTTTCAGGAAGCTGAAATTTGTTTTAAATTCAGTATT